GGGTCCCTTCCAACTCAGGACATTGCAAGATTTTATGATCTGAAGTGCTGGGATTTCTCTGATAGGATTTATTACCTGGCTGCCTCACAGAGCTGCAGAGTCCCTTGGGGGATGGTGGCACCCCTGACCAGTGCCCTCCTTCCATCCTCGCTGGGGCTGTGAGGTCACTGCTGCAGCCTGGCTGGCTTTGATGGAGCATCAATAACCATTCAGAGTTGCCTCTTGTGCTTTGGGCATTATTTTACTTTAACTTTCTTGCCCTGAAGCGGTTCTTTACAATGTGCCTGTCAGATTAAAAGGCAAACTTTAAAATCTCCATCTCTGCAGGGCTCAGTTGCACTTTCACCAATGTCACAGTAAGGTCATATTGTAGCCAAAGGGTTGTGCCACGAGCATTTTTCATGTGAGCTCAAATCAGTTATGGGTATTTTAGTTGCCAAGAGATGTAGGCAAATTGTGGAGAAGATCAGAGAAGAGCCAGGGAGGCCATGGAGCAGAAGGAATTGACATTGAGAAAGCTTAAAAGGGCCAGTATAGCTCAGCTAAGCAACATCAAAGGGCACCCAGCAATATTGGAAGGGTTTAGTGCAGCAGCCAAAGGAGATATTGAGCAGAGTACAAGAAGTTGTAATTATTCTGTGAAATTAAATGAGCAGCCTGAAATCAGTAGCAGGAAGAAACTTCTGATAATTAAGTTTTTAGGGAGCTGTGTGTGGCCTTTGAGGGCTTTCTTACCAATTATCAGCTCTTTTATTTAAACATTAAAATGGGAGAAGTCTCACATTTAGTGACAGGACACAGGGAATGGCTTCGACTGCCAGAGGACAGGGCTGGATGGGATATTGGGAAGGAATTGTTCCCTGGGAGGGTGGGCAGGCCCTGGCACGGGGTGCCCAGAGCAGCTGTGGCTGCCCCTGGATCCCTGGCAGTGTCCCAGGCCAGGTTGGACATTGGGATTGGATCAGCCTGGGACCGTGGGAGGTGTCCCTGCCATGGCAGGGGATGGAGCTGGATGATCTGCAAGGTCCTTTGCATCCCAAATTGGGTTGGTTCTGTCAGTAACAGCAAAGCTGAAGATGGGCCTTTTGGAGGAATTCTGTTCCAGCTGTGCTTTCCAGACTTAATACTCCTTGTTCAAGAAGTTTAAAAATCAACTTGTGCACAAATGACCGGATTAAAAAAATTACCACCCAGAACCTATTCCCCCATCCATCCTGAGCTGAGGCAGTGGAAGCAAGTCCAGAGTAGTGGGAGCAATTTATCAAGGCAGGAGAAGGCAGGGGAGCAGGCAGTGCTTTGTGCTGAGCTCTGTGTGTGTGCAGGAGCTGCCCTGTACCGGCGCCTCAAGGAGTACCTGCTGACTGAGGAGCAGCTCAAGGAGAACGGCTACCCAATGCCTCACCCCGAGAAGCCTGGACGTGCTGTGCTCTTCACTGCAGAGGAGAAGAAAGTGATTGACTGTAAGCTCTGCTGGCTCTTCCCTTCTGCAGGATTTGCTGGGTGCAGCTGGAGCTGCCCCTTCTGGTTGTCTAAGAGTCTCAGTGTGGAGCCTTTGCTCCTGTTGTGACAGGGAGTGTGGTTGCAGAATTCTGCTGCGTTCCTGCATGGAGAGTTTCTTCAGTTTTCACATCCTGAGAATGCTATTTTTGACCCAGTGGGGCTGTGAGCCTGAGGGAGGTTTCTAATTTCTAATTCCCAGGTAACAGGATGAAAGGAAATGGCCTGAAGCCACACCAGGGGAGGCTTAGATTGGATATAAAGGAAAATTTCTTCATGAAAAAGGTTGTGAAGCATTGAACAGACTGCCCAGGGCAGTGGTGGAGTCATCATCCCCATAAATGTTCAAAAAATGTGTGGATGTGGCACTTGGGGACATGGTTTAGTGGTGACCATGGTGGCAATGCTGATGGTTGGTCTTTTCCAACCTTAGCAATTCCATGATTCTGTGCTGCCAAAGAACAGCAACCGAGCAGGTTGGAAAGAGGTTCCAGTTCTGCACTTGGTGACCCTCCCCTCTCCCAAGGAAAGGATTTTTTTCTGTCTCTGTCTGTGTGAGCTGCTGTTATGGTGAGGTGAGGACTGACTCTGGGCCAGGCTGGCTTTGCAGTGGGTCCTGCTGTGCTGCTCTGGATTGCAGAGTTTTCTGTTTGATCTTGTGGCACTGCTGGGTCACAGAGTTCCCCAGAGCCCTTTTTGCAGCTGGACAAAATGATCATAAAATCACAAAATAGTTTGAATTGGAAGAGACTTTAAAACCCATCTCATTCCACCCCCTGGAGCATCTTTCACCAGACTGGGTTGCTCCAAGCCACGTCCAACCTAGCCTTGATCCCACAGGTTTTCCTCCTCTGAATTTTCTGAACTCATGGTAAGATTTCTGTTCCTCAGCCCTGACTAAAGCAGGCTGTGCTGCAGCAGGGATAAAACCCAGACTGGGGATTTCTTTTGAGGTGCTTTGCCACGCTCCCCTGAGCATCTGTGTGGAGAGACCTCACTAAAGTGTGTTAAGTGCTCATCCATGTTAACACCTTGTGCCTACATTTGTCCTGTGGTTGCTGAAGCAACCTGGGCAAAAGCTCTCTTGCATTAACACTGTCAAGTGCTGTATTTGTGAGAGCCCTTTTTTCCAGGGAGCCAGCCACCTCCTTTATATGATCCTGAGCTCATGTTCCTGGTTTTATTCCTGTAGTTTCCTGCAGATGTTGCAGGATCTTTGAATTTTACCTTGTTTAACTAAAGCTGTTGCTGCCACCATGACCAGTGGGCTGGTGTTGGGCAGAGCTGGGAATGTGCTAACAGCTTTAATGCTCACACCAAAACTCATGGAATTGCATGGATATCAGAGGAATGACAGCTCCTTCACAGTGGCTTTTTGCATGTCCCTTCCCCAAATTTTGGGCAGGAAAAGCAGAGGTGGTAGGAGGGAGCAGTTGCAGACTGCCCCCTTGCTGGGCCAGGCCCTGCCCTAGGTGCTCCTGGATTTAGCTGCTGGAAAACCCTGACAGAAAAGCTGTGCCCTGGAAGAGCTAAAATGTCATTTGGAAGTGACAAGGCACAGATCCCCTGGAAACCAGGCTTCATTAGCTCTGGTGTCCAAAGAATGACTTATTTATCCTGTTTCTTAAAATAACTCTGTTAGACTCCAACGTAATTTGCTGTGCATGGAGAAACAATGCAGCAAACCTTGATGGAACTGGGGGCAGCTGATGTGGACCAAAGCCACTGGAGAGTCTTTGTGTTTGCCTCTGGGAAGTGTTTGGGGGCAGATTTCAGAGAGATTACTGTGCCTTTATAGGAGTTTGGAACAATATTTGGAATCCTTTTTAACAGAAAACACCATTTAACAGCATTTGGGGTTTGAGTGATTGTGATTTCCTTTGCTTTGGCCAGGTTAAGCAGGTGAGGGGTTTGCAGTGACCTGGCTGTTGTTTCTCTCCTGTCCCCAAGCTTCATGCAGGATCTGCTGTCGCTGTGGCACTGAGTACATGGTCTCAGCCTCGGGGAACTGCATCAGGAAGGAGGAGTGTGTCCATCACTGGGGGCGGCTGCGCAAGCAGAGAGGTGAGGCACGGCCCTGCCGGGGGGATTGGCTGTGCTGGCTGTGCTCCAGCTCCAAACACAGAGTCTTCCTCAGCTCTGAGCTTCATTTTGGGGCTTGTCACGCTCCCAGGTGGGGACAGTTCCTGTGCCTGTCACTGAAGTGGCCTCACAAAGAGCTGCTGGGCTTGGCGCTCCCCAGAGTGTGACACTGGGGCTGCAGCAGAGCTGCTTCAGCTTTGTTCAGAAAAGAAAAGGAAAAAGCCTTCCTGTGCTTTTTGAAAAAAATCAGCCTTTTGAAAAGCTGACTGGGAGCACTAGAGGTCTGTCACTCCCAGGAGAGTTCACTGATCTTGGTTGAATTCATTTGCAGCAAGGCACTAACCTAGTTTGAGCTCTGCTCTGGTTTTCCATCAGAGCATCCGAGTGGCTTCTGGAGTTTGTCTGGCTGAGTACCAGAGACTTAAACTCTTTAGATTGCTGCTGTGAATCCACAGTTATTTTCCCCTTGTGTTCGGCACGTTATTGTTGTGCTCATCCAGGGGATCTGCACGTGAAAGCTGAAGTTCAGGTCTCTTGTTAACAAGACTCCTCTCCTTGACCCTTCTTCTCTTGCTCTTTCAGTGCCAGGTGGGTGGGAAACTCACTACAGCTGCTGCTCCGGAGCTGTGGGGTCACCAGGCTGCCAGGTTGCTAAAGTAAGTGATGGAACAACACCTTTTTATTCTCAGTGACATTTGTGCTCTGCTCACAGTGCCAGTGGCTGGGAAATCCTTGCTTAAGTCTTTAAAAGAACAGTGGCTTCCCTTAAGGGGATAAAACAAGTACAACTTAAATTTTTTTGCTCTGCAATGGCAGGAAAATCCAGTATTTGACACTTAACTGGCTGGAGTGAGCTAGGTTCATTTATCCTGAGCTGCCCAGCTCATCTACTTGTGGGACAGAAAAGCTCATGTTCTTTAGTGAATCACAGAAGAAATGAGAAATAAGGGATTTATTTCCTTTTAAGGAGCAGTTTCAGAGCCTTTGCAATAATGTGCCAAACCCTTTTCCCCATCTTTTCCTTTCCGGATTCCCATGCTAAGGTCACTTTCTCCAGGTGGACAAATCTTTTCTGACAGGTTTTCTGTTTGTTACCTGCCCTTGGTTATAGTAAGGGGAGGAACCTTCCCGAGGAGCCTGTTCTAACTCCAAAATACCACAGAACTTCTTTTGAGGGAGCCCAGCACTAGAAAAAACAATGAAACCCCTGCTCAGATGTGGAGTTTGATAGAGCAGAGCACTGTACACAGGTGCTTTCTTCTTTCCCTTAGGCTGCAGGAGGGTTGGTGTCCCAGCCTGGCATCCCCAGTTTGCCTCGTGCCTTTCCCTCAGCTCTCTGGGCACGCTCCTTGTCACTTATTTTAGTGGCATTTTTATATTTAGCAGCTGCCACACAGGGGAGAACCAAAAGCTAGAGGTAGAAGGTGAATTCTGGGCAAAATTCAAGGTTTGTTGCAATCAGAAGAATTTTCTGGGCACCCTAAAAACCTGCCCTGCACAGTGGGGTTGTATGGGATCAGGTTGTTACTTTTCTTTCTTTTCCACATGAATTTAGGATTTTTTAAAAAATCACCTTCTCTGGGCACCCTGTGCCAGGGCCTCCCCACCCTCACAGGGAGCAATTCCTTCCCTATATCCCATCTAACCTCGCCCTCTGGCAGTGGGAAGCCATTCCCCCTTGTCCTGTCACTCCATACCAGTGTAAAAAGTCCCTCTCCCTCTTTTTTATAAGCCCCCAGTTTTCAGAGCACCCTTTCATAGATTTAAGGTTGAATCCACAGCCTGCTCAGCATCAGAGCATGCAGTGAAATTTTTGGGATATTGGGGTGCACAGAATCCCTCAGTTTTGAAGAAGGGCTTTGAAAGCAGAGAATATTTGTAATAAGACACCACTCTGAGTAAGTGGATCCTGGAGCTGGTTAGAAAAGCTCGAGTGTGTCTGTCCAAGCCCAGGGGTGTCCGTGCTGGGTTTGCTGCAGTTAGGCAGGGAGGCAGGAGATGGCAGGAGGGAGCCGTGCTGCTCCAGGGAGCCTGCAGAGCCTGCTCTTTGTGATACCCGAGCCTGCTGCTCTCAACAACAGCAGCAACTTCCCTGCCCTCCTCCCAGCCAGGAAGAATTGGGCAGTTTCAGAACAACAACTGATGGAGAAAAATACCTAATAGGGTTTGTTTTTTTGTCACTTTGCTGCTCGGTTGTGTTGTGTTCCTCAGGGAGGGAAGGGCTGAAGCTGAGGAGAGGTGTTTGCTGTCCCCTGCCTGCTGAGCTGCCTTCCCCATTCCCCCAGCACAGCAGGGTCTGTGCCATGGGTGCAGAGTGGACAAGGGCAGCCCCTTGCAGTGGGAAGCAGTGATCCATGAGGCCTTTGAGCAGTGCTGGCTGTGGGTACAGGGAGAGATTGGCCTCAGTGTTGGCCCAGCTGCCTCATTAACTCCAAATGATGCAGTTCCTGTGCTCTGGCTGCACCTGCAGTAGTGACCTGTGCAGGAAAATATGCAAATCCTGCTTTGGTTTCCTCTCTGCCCACACTTTCCAGTCAGCTTTACAAGGGCTTCAGTTCCTCATCTCTCCAGCCTTTAATCCTGAGACAAACCAGAGCAGTTTCATTCCTGTAGGGTCAGGCCTATGGGAAGCCCTGGACCCTGCTGGGCACTGCTGAGGCTCCACCTCAGATCCTGGGGTCACTTTTGGGCCCCTCATGACAAGAAGGAAATTGAAGGGCAGGAGCATGTCCAGAGAAGGGAACAGAGCTGAGGAAAGGTCTGGGGAGCCCCAGGAGCAACTGAGGGAGCTGGGGAGGCTCAACCTGGAGAAAAGGAGGCTCAGGGGGGCCCTTGTGGCTCTGCACAACTCCCTGACAGGAGGGGACAGCCGGGGGGGTCGGGCTGTGCTCCAGGGAACAGGGACAGGAGGAGAGGGAACGGCCTCAGGCTGGGCCAGGGGAGTTTTAGGTTGGATATTGGGAAAATTTCTTCACAAAAAAGGGTGGTCAGGCATTGGAAGCGGCTTCTCAGGGCAGTGGTGGAATCACCATCCCTAGAATTGTTCAAAAACCCTGTGGATGTGGCACCTGGGGACGTGGTTTAGTGGTGACCGTGGTGGGGGTCCTGGATTGACTTGATGATCTTGGGAGCCCTTTCCAACCTTAAGGATTCAGGGATTCCATGGTTTTGAGCACGATGAAGGAGGCTGTGCCCAGGCTGCTGTGACTGTGCACAAATACATGGAGATTTAGGGACAGACAAAACTTAAACACCACAAAAAACCCCACTGGGGGATAAGGGAGGGAGAGCATCACCTCTGGGTGTGGTGCAGGTTGGCTTTAGATGAAACCATGTCAGCAGGCAAAAAGGCAGTCACAGTTCTGCCTTGCCCTTGGTTACCTGTTCCTGCTTCCCCTTTAAACTTCACCCAGCTTAGAAGCCCTGCTGCCAGGAAGGCTCCAGGATAACCACAGGATCTGTGCTGTGGAGGAGTGTGGGAGTTCCTATGTTACAGCAGCAGCTCAGTCATGCACTGGCTCAAACCACTTGTGAAATCACTCCCTGAGTTTTCCTGCTGGATCTAGTTGACCCTGGAGCTTTAGCTGGGAGCAGTGCAGAGTGCTTGGAAATGCCTTTTATTGCCTCAGGTGCTGGAGGGCTGGAGCTCCTGTGGGTGTGAATGCAGGGGCTGTGGGTGGGTGCACACACAGCCACGCTCTGGAGCTGTGTCTGCTGTCCCTGTAGCTGCTGCTTGTGCTCACACAGGGATGTTGGGGTTGGGATCCTGCACCTGGGCTTGTCTTGGCCACAGGAACCAGGAGCTGGAGTTACATCAGTGTCAGGCCTCAGTGTGCCCTTCCTGACTAATTCTACTCCAGATGGAAAGCTCCTTGTCCCCAGACACATGATGTCCTTCTCCTCCATGTGCTGTCAGGATGATTCCACCAGCCCTGACCTGCCTTGGGAATTAGGGCTGCCCATGGCTGTGTTTGCTGTGGTTGTGAACTTCTCGGGCTCACTGTAGGCAAAACTTACTCCTCATGAAGAAATTATTAAAAACCCACTTTTGTTGAAGTGGAGGTTTGTTGGAGTGGGCTCTGGCTTCTTGTTCTTGTCATCACCAAGTGTCTCTGTGTTTTCCTTCCAGCAACACGTGCACGATGGGCGCAAGGAGAGCCTGGATGGTTTTGTGAAGACTTTTGAGAAGCTGCCCACGACTGATGGCTACCCTGGGATCTATGCCTTAGACTGTGAAATGGTGGGTCCAAAGCCAAAACAAGGCTTTTTGGGACTGGCTGAGGTGTGACACAAGTGGCTGAAGGGAAGCTGTTTCCTGACCTCATTCTCTCTGTTCTGAATATTGGTGCTGGAGGTGTAAATGAGCTCTTATTGATTGGTGTGTTTGGCTTGAGGGCTGTGCAGCCCTGGCAGGCTCTGACTGGCCCAGGCTGGGCAGGGTTGCTACCTGGCCCTGCTGCACCAGATGTGCTGCATTCTGGGAGCTGCAGAACGGGTGAGGGGCTCCACAGATCCCACACTGTGGTTGGCCTGGTGCCTCTCATCACATCTGCCCTGTTCCTTGCAGTGCTACACTAAGCAAGGACTGGAGCTGACAAGAGTAACTGTGATCAACTCGGAGCTGAAAGTGGTGTATGACACCTTTGTCAAGCCAGACTCCAAGGTGGTGGATTACAACACCAGGTAAGGGCTGTGACACCAGGGGAGGGCTGTGACACCAGGGGAGGATGCTCTTCATTGGGACAGAGCTTTGTGCTCCCTCAGGAACGTGGCATGCCTGGGAGCACTTGCTGAAACTTCACTGCCCACCACTCCCTAAGGGCTGAGGAGCTTTGGGCCTTGAGGTGAAGGACCCCACCTGTATCCTGTTGCCCTGCAGGTTCTCAGGTGTGACAGAAGAGGACCTGGAGAACACGAGCATCACCCTGCGGGATGTCCAAGCCGTCCTACTGAACATGTTCAGTGCAGACACCATATTGATAGGGCACAGCTTGGAAAGCGACTTATTTGCACTAAAGGTAACTTGGGCTCTTGCCTTCACATCTCCCTGTGGTGCTTTCCCACTCTGGGGGGTGTTAGGTGCCTCCTTCAAATTTAGGAACTGTGTATTTCCAAGGACCAGGAGTTCACATAGTGGGGTGGCCTCACCTCAAGTCCTGTGTGCAGTTTGGGGCACCACAATACAAAAAAGCCATACATCCTTTAGAGAGTGTCCAGAGGAGCTGTGAGGATGGGAAAGGGTCTGGAGGGGCCTCATGAGGAGAAGCTGGGGGTACTTGGTTTGGCTTGAGGGGAGACTCGTCCTGATCTTAAACATCCTCATAGGGGAAGAGGAAGGGCGGGTGCTGATCTTTTCACTCTCATGACCAGGGCCAGGAGCCCAGGAAGGGCTGGAGCTGTGCCAGGGCTTGGCATGGAGCTCAGGGAAAGGTTCCTCCCCCCGAGGGTGCTGGGCACTGCCCAGGCTCCCCAGGGAATGGTCCCGGCCCCAAGGCTGCCAGAGCTCCAGGAGCGTTTGGACAGCGCTCTCAGGGATGCTCAGGGTGGGATTGTTGGGGGGTCTCTGCAGGGACAGGGGCTGGATCAATGATCCCTGTGGGTGCCTTCCCACTCAGAATATTCCAGTCTCTGAGCCTGTGTGAAGCTGGTTGTGGTGGAAGTGCAAGAGAGTGAGGTCATGTGTGTCACTCATGGTGTCACCTGAACTTTTAGTGGCTGCTGCTGCCCAGGGTGACAGACCTGGCCAGGGCTCTGAGCAGCCTGGCCTAGTGGAAGGTGGAACAAGATGGTCTCTAAGGTCTCTCCCAACCCAAACCATTCCATGATTCTATGACCGATCCCAAATCTTTTGCCTCTCACCCCTGCCAGATCTGTTCTCTGTTCTGTACCAGCTTTTGTAAGAATTGTGATGTTACTTTGATGAAGTTATTTTGACCCTTTACCTGTCCTGTTTCCTGCCTGGCCCTCATCAGCCCAGTGTGCCCATCCCTGAGCCACCTCTGCTGTCCTGCCACGGAGTGTGTCCTGCACTGTGGCCCCAGGAGTTTGTCCTGGGTCACCAGGAGAGTGTGTGGCAGGCAGGAGCCAAGTCTGTGCTCACATGCCAGAACTTTCCTCAGCCATTCTTTATCCCACAGCTCTCCTGCTGAAGCCTCTGTGGCTGCCAGCTCCCAGGGCTGGGTTGGAATCAGGAGCTTTTAATGCCTGTAAAACACTTTACCTCTCCATGGTACCCTTTATCCCAGCCTTGGAGAGGCTTCATCATAATCAGAAAAACATTATTTCCAGTTAGATCAGCTCAAGATGACTGCCTTGGCCTCTTAGAGGCTGGATTTTCTCTTAGCACCACAGCTGCTGCCAAGAGGAGGAGCCCAGAGCACTCCAGCAGAGCCATGGGGTGTCACAGCAGAATGGCCAAGGGCTGTGGCAGTAAAGCCATATCTCACTAATGGCTGTGGCAAGTTCCAAGTGCTGATGGCATCTCAAGTTTTATTTAAAGCTTTATTATCCTGTTTCCTCAGTCTTCCTGATCTACATAAGTAATTACCAGTGTGTCTGGGAGGGTGCCAGAGCTGAGTGCAGCCCAGGGGAGATTATCCATAACATTGGCAGTTTTATACTCCGAGGAGTGGAGCAGGTTGTTTCTGTTAAGGTGCAGCTGTTGTGGGGCAGTTGTGCAGCTGTTACTGATGCAGTTATGGGTTGTCCTGCAACATGAGCTGGTGCCTGGAGGCAGAGAGGAAGAGGGGATTATCGGGGTTCTCTTAGAGTCATCCATGTGGGCACAGGACACAGGTTTATCTCTTAGGCCCTGCACTTCACTCCTGTGCTCAGGATATGGGATGGCCTTCATCTACATTCCTTTAGCTCCCACTGAATGCAGTTCATGATAGCAAAGGATTAATCTTGTCTTAGCCTGAGAAGAAGAAATCAGTGTTAAAAAAAGCCAGCCTGCCTTATGATATTGGACTTTGTAGGTGGGGCCTTCTGGCTGTCCCCAGGCACCTTGGTGCAGGGCAGAACTTTGACCTGTTCAGCATCCTCAGTTCCTCCAGCATGGTGACAATTCATAGCTGAGGTGCTGGATTAGAGGCCTGGAGACCCTCTGCTCTGGAGCCAGCCTGGAAGAGCTGGAGGTGCTCACCTGGAGAGGAGAAGGCTCCAGGGAGAGCTGAGAGCCCCTTGCAGGGCCTAAAGGGGCTCCAGGAGAGCTGGAGAGGGACTGGGGACAAGGGATGGAGGGACAGGACACAGGGAATGGCTTCCACTGCCAGAGGGCAGGGCTGGATGGGATATTGGGCAGGAATTGTTCCCTGGGAGGGTGGGCAGGGCTGGCACAGGGTGCCCAGAGCAGCTGTGGCTGCCCCTGGATCCCTGGCAGTGTTGGATGGGGATTGGAGCAGCCTGGGACAGTGGAAGGTGTCCCTGCCATGGCAGGGGATGGAGTAGAAGCCCTTTAAAATGTCCCGACTAGAAACACTCTCTGATATGATTCAGTGATAGAATTTCCTTGTCCCATTCCATCCTTGCTGAGCTGGTGCTGGTTAAAAACTTCCTGTTGAGTCACTGCTGACACATGGGAGGATTTGGGGTTGGTTTGCACCCTAAAGGCCAGGCCTACTCTGTAGCAACAGTGTGCACATCCTGCTTTGTTGTGCACATCCTGCCCACTTCTGTCCCCACCTTAGAATCCCAGAATGGTTTGGTTGGAAGGCACCATGAACATTACCCAACTCCAATCCTCTGCCATGGGCAGGGATGCCACTCACTAGACTGAGCTGCTTCATCTGGAGGAGCATTTGAAAGGTTGCTACAACTCACACAGAGGCTGTTGTGCAGCCAACTGGTTCTGCAGTTAAACTTTTAATTGTGAAAAACTCCAGAGCTTCTCCAGGCTGGAGGATTAAAGGCTGGTCTGTCCTGCTTGAGTTACACGAACTGGATCAGCCCTGAATGTGAGGTTTCAGGGCTCTGGGGGAGGTGTGTGGCTGGCACAGCAGTGGGAATGCTGTGTGCACACACCCTGCCAGGGGACTCATCCTGGCTGCAGGCAGAGCCTCCTGCCAGACTGGTTGGGTCGGCAGTGCCGAGAGCGTTGCACAGAGCCCCAGAGGTGACCAGGAGGTTGCTGCAGCATGGCTGATCCCAAGGAGTGCCTGTCCCTGTGGGAGTGAGGAAATGACCCTGTTCCTGTGCTCCTCCCTCAGCTGATCCATGGCACTGTAGTGGACACAGCCATCGTGTTCCCCCACCGCCTGGGGCTGCCCTACAAGCGTGCCCTGCGCACGCTCATGGCCGACTACCTCAAACGCATCATCCAGGACAATGGTGAGACCTCTGAGGGACCCCACTTCCTTCCTGTGCTCCCCTCAGCCCTGTCTTTCTCTGCTCTCCCCAAGCCCATCCTCTTGCTCCTGGTGTTTTCTCCCCTGCATGTGTGTGGTAGCTGGGAATGTGCTGGTGTAAGGAGCCTCAGTCACAGCTCGTTTCAATGTGACCCCTGTTCCAAGGGCAGAGCTCTCCCTGCTTCCCTCCCTGTGCTGAGTGGGACAAAGGAAGTGGTGTGGGAAGGCTGAGGGTGGCTCTGCCAAGGCCGGGTCCTGCCCTCCTGTGTCTCTCTGGCCAGCTGAGATGGACCCTCCTGTTGGAAGTGAGGCCTTTTCCCTCCCACCTTCCCTGAGCGCATTGTAAACACTGCTGGGGAAGCTCCTAACTTTTCCATAGCTGATGGTGTCAGGCTGAAGCCCAACAAAAAGGGTGGGTTTAGTGGAAAAAAATAAGTGTTTAAAATTGGGAGCGTTCAGCCTGGAGAAGAGAAGGCTTTGGGGACTCCTTAAAGCTCCTTGCAGGGCCTAAAGGGGCTCCAGCAGAGCTGGAGAGGGACTGGGGACAAGGCATGGAGGGACAGCACACAGGGAATGGCTTCCACTGCCAGAGGGCAGGGCTGGATGGGATATTGGGCAGGAATTGTTCCCTGGGAGGGTGGGCAGGGCTGGCACAGGGTGCCCAGAGCAGCTGTGGCTGCCCCTGGATCCCTGGCAGTGTCCCAGGCCAGGTTGGACATTGGGATTGGAGCAACCTGGGACAGTGGGAGGTGTCCCTGCCATGGTAGGGGTGGAGCTGGATGATCTGGAACAAACCGTAAACCACAAATCATTCTGTGATTCCGTGGAATTCTTTAAATCCCTGGCTGTGGCTCAGGGTGCTCCCTGTGCTGGGCTGAGCAGGCAGCCCCTGCAGCAGAGGGGTCACAGCCACACCCGTGTTTGTGTCCCCAGTGGAAGGACACGACTCCAGCGAGGACGCCAGGGCCTGCATGGAGCTCATGGTGTGGAAGATCAAGGAGGATGCGAAAGTGAAGCGATGACTGCGCCTGTGTCTCTGCTGTTCTCCTGCACCTCTGTGAAGAAGCAGTGCAATAAATGCCCACAGCCACTCTGTCCCCCCGTGCCAGCAGCATGTTCCTGCTCCCCAGCCATCCCAGCAGGACTCCTGGACTCACACCTGCAGTCCCCCTGTACAGGTGGTGGCTTTCAGATCCTCAGACTCCACCTGAGGGATTCTCTGTGGTCCAAGCACTGCCATGTGGGCCTGGCAAGGTGGTTTTGAGTAGCACAACCAGAACTTCTTGGTTCCTAGGAGAAGCTTGTTAGAGGTAGGTTGGAGATGTGCAGAAGGATCTTTCTGGTTCAGTTAAAGGTAGATCCTTAACTTTTTTGGTTTTTTCCCCAAAAGTAACTTAAATTGCCTCTGTACTCCAAAGCAGTTTTTGGAGAGGGGGGAGATGGAGGAAGGTTGGGCAGGAAGCTGTGAGTGGATTGTGTAGCTGATGTGGAAAGCAAGAGCTGAGGATCAAGCACGTGGAAAGATACCCTGGTGCAATCCCATTGTGGAACTGCAAAAGAGGGAGGCTGGCTCTGAGCAGCTGGAGGGAGAGGAGTGAGGTGGGATCTGGGAATTGCCACCTGCTGTGCCCCAGGTGATCTCCCTGCTGAGGGCTGGCTGGCACCTGGTTTGCAGTCACACCTTGAACAGACCTCAGGGAGCCACGTGGCTGGACAGGGACAAACAGCTCCCAGAGCCAGGGAGAACCTGCATCCCATCACTGCAGGGTGGGACCAGCTGTCCTTCCCTGACCCTCAGCTTCCAGCAGGGCCCCAGTGAGCTTGTGTTCAGGGAACAAGGTTTTTAGGGTATGCAGGTAAGATTGCACCTAAGGGTGGCCTCAGCAGTGTGCAGGGCTCCCCACCAGCCTGTCCCTGATGCAGGGACTTGGTACAGGCAGAAGCAATAGGGAAAAAATCCTTCGTTTCAACTTGTTTACATATTGGGAGTTGTGTAGAGAGTGAAGGACCCAGCTGTGTGTCTGGCACCTGGACAAAAGCAGCTGTTGAGTGTGCCTGTCACACTCTGGGGTGTGTCACACTCTGGGGTGACTGAGACAGAGCCAGGCAGACTGGAGGGCACTGGTGGATCCCTCTGCCCAGACCCTGCTGCTGTCTGAGGACAGCAGAGCTGAGGGGAACAATCCCCATGGATGGAGTCTCTCAGCTGGGGTCAGGGAGCACCTGCACCCCATTCCCAGAGCAGTGACCCTTCACCCTCCCTGGTAGCACTGGAATTGTGTCCCTTGGTGGCTGCTGTGTCCCTGTGTCCCTGGCATGGGCTGGCTGTCTCCGTCTGGGGGCAGGGGGGCAGAGGAGCTGCTGAGGTTTGGTTCCTGTCGGAGCCAGGTCCTGCTCCCTCCTTTGTACCCCTGCTGGGCTCAGGGTTTGGGGACAGCTGTGTGTCCCCTGCATGTCCTGCTCAGCTGTCCCAGCCTGTGGGCAGGAGCGTGGGTTGGGCTGTGTTCCAGGACAGGGATGTCCTGCTCCAGCCCCACATCCCACTGCTGCCCTTGGAAGCAGGGAGGTGGCTTCTCTGTCAGGATCTCTGGGAGCCACCAGGAGAACTGTGGCTGTAAAGACTCCAGTTACTGCTGAGCCCATCTGTGTTTGCTCTGGCAGCCTATTCCTTACCCCACGTTTAGGGGATGCAGCTCCCTGCCACCCCCCCAGTGCTCCACATCCAGCTCTGCTCCTTTCCTGCCTTGGGGCCTCCACCCCAAGCAGCCTTGGGACACCTTGGCCTGTCCCCCTGTCCCCCTGCCCGCAGGGAACAGTGCTGCTCCTGCCTGTGGGAGAGACAAGAGTTCAGTTCCTCCCAGCTGGGGAGGGAAGGTTTGTTCCTGCTTTGCCTCTTTCCCATGTTTATCCCCCGTTTATCTTCACCCCTGGCTGCAGCGATGGAATGTCCCTGGAGCAGCCACGTCTGGCTCTTGCCCGTTCCTCCACAGGCAGCCCCTGCTTCCCAGCCTTCCCACAGCAGCTCCTTCCCTGGAAAAGCCAGGGCATTCTACCATGGAACACAGTGTGCTGGTGTCCTGCTTGTGGAGCTGCTTGGCTCAACCCCATCTCCTGGGACTGGGGTGGGCGGGAATCCTGCCAGGCCATGGGACCTCCAACATTTCCCCTTCTTTTCCCCAGGGATGGGGGTGTGGAGGGGTTGCCTGTGTCAGGGGATGTCCCTGGGGAAGTGGAACCATATCCAGCCATGCCATCGGTGTGGTCAGAGCCAGTCCTGGCCCAGTGCTGCCATCTCCTCCCCAGGCACCAGAGGTTTGGTTGGGTTGTACAGAACGATTGTAGCTTGTTAACTTTTTGTAATTGTTTTTAATAAAAGAGTGTTGACTAGATGCACATTCCTGAGTCTGGGACTGCTCTGCCTGCATATAGGTTGTGGGGTTGTGGAGGGGAGGTGCTGGGCAGGCTTCCCGGGAGATCCTTCCCCAAGCTGGAGAAGGGTTCAACAGGTCCAAGGTCCTGCACCTGAGTCTGGGTAATCCCAGTCCTGAGCACAGACCGGGAGATGAACTCATGGAGAGCAGCCCTGGGGAGAAGGATTTGGGACGTTGGTGGTGAGAGGCTCAACCTGCCCCGGCCATGGGCACTGACCCCAGAAACCCCCCCTGTGCTGGGCTGAGCCCCCAGCGTGGGCAGCAGGGCAGGGGGGGATTCTGCCCCTCTGCCCCGCTCAGGTGAGACCCCACCTGCAGA